AAAGCATCCAAAACTTGTCTACTGACATCCATTGGCAAATATTTTACAATTATTTTTACAAGTGACACATCCCTTCCCATTTTACATACAACATTATCAATTTGTTTAGACCAAGATAATTTATGATCCAGGGTTATACCTAGCAATTTTGTCTCCTTGACCTGTTCAATTTCAATATGGTTTAAATGTAGTTGCAATTTTGGTTCACCTTTTAACTGATGATTTGATCCTATTAATAACGATTTTGTTTTTCCCGCATTAAGTACCAACTTATTATTTATGACCCACTCTGATATCAATAGTAGATCTTTATTCATAACATTTGTCAACTCTCTTGTAGTTGATGCTGCATAATATATTGTTGAGTCATCTGCATACATTACAATTTTAGCTTTCTCTAACACTAATGGTAGGTCATTTGTAAAAATAGAAAATAAAAGTGGTCCCAAACAACTACCCTGAGGTACTCCACAAGTGACTGTTTTCATCTTTGAGAGACTTCCATTAAAAAAAAAAGTTTGACTTCGATTTGTCAGGTAACTTTCGAACCACCTCAGCGTTTCAAAATTAAAACCATATTGTTCCAGCTTGTGTAACAACAAAGAATGGTCAATGACATCAAAAGCAGGACTAAAATCAAGTAGTACTGCACCCACTAACTTCCTATTATCTAGTTCGCCCTTCCAGTCATCTGTCATTTGTGTTAAAGCGGTGCATGTCAAATGGCCAGGTCTGTAAGCATGTTGATACACAGTGTTAAGTTTGTTACCTTCAAAGTATTTTTGTATTTGATTGAAAATTATTCTCTCCATTATCTTTGCTAACGCTGGTAATAAACTTATTGGGCGGCTATTTGTACCAGAAAATGGTCCAGCTGGATTTTTTGCAAGTGGAATAATTTTTGCTATTTTCCATGTCTGTGGGCAAATACATTTATCAATACTCAAATTTATAATATGACAGATAGGCTCTGCAACAAAATTAGCAACATATCTAAGAAATGTACCAACTAAATTATCCACTCCTGGTGGTTTATCATTACATTTACCTAGTAGACATTCAACATTCCCTTTCCAATACTGTAATGAAGAGGTAGTACCTGAGCTCCATCTAGTGCCTCAGAAAATAAATGCATCTCTTTAAAACCATGATGCTGGTGTACAATATCCATCATATACACCTTATGAGGATTCCTGACACAGTATGAAATACTGACATATGAATTAACACACATCATTGATTTCTCTAGGCAACTACTATGGGTATGTAATCACAAAAAATGGTTTAAAAAAGTATTTTAACAGTTTAACATTCACTCTTAAGTACCTTAAGAAAATATGTGAACAAATTGTGTTTATTTGTATCTATTTGAAGACTTTAGTATGGCCTTAACATATTTTGTAATTCTGTTAACCTTTATACAAAATGTGAAATGAAAATAAAAACTGGAATAAACTGTTCAACAGCACATTTATAGAAAAAAACATAGTAAAAAAACTATTGAAGATGAATCAGAATGGATTTTTTAGAAAACAGTCTTATGTAAGCAGTTTATTGGAACATATTCACAGTTGGCAATTTGTTTGGTACAACTAGCTACATTTAAAGTAGTTCAAGCTATTAACCCTACCTCTGTGCAGGTTATTATGTTCTTAAAGGGATGTATGCATAAGAATTTAAATGTTGTAATGGCGCTTTTCTTATTGAGACAGTCAAAAAATGGGTGGCCATGACTCATTAAAAACAGTGTTCTGATTGATTGGTGTTCAGTGTAAATCAGCATCATATCACTTTGTGTTAAAACAGTCTGTGGGTCACTCTGTCCTTCCTGACACTATATTAAAAAAACATTTATATTACCCTGTTTACGACAACAATGTAAGTCACTTACGGTTAGGGGGTCCAGCTGCTTGGAACGCCTGATATGGTGCTTGTGTTGTGGGCCGAGAAAACACAGGAGGCTCCTCTCCAAAAACCACGATCATCACCTGAATCAGACCATACAGGTCCGACTGAGGCTGTAAGACAAACAGAGAGGCCATGTTTTTATTGAGCAAGACGACAAATGCAGAATGCTATTTCAAATGATCAACAGGAAAGCAACTGCTGTACATATTTTCGTAAGTTAGAGCCACATTATAGAGATTTAAAAAATGTAAATAATGCAGTGAATGCTCAAAAACCTCTATAGCATCAGTACATGAGCAATCTATATTTTCAAATTCTAAGCATTTCATAGTCAGTCCTTGCCTAAATAAATAGTCTATGATTAAAAATATTGAGACACTTACATGTTTCCACTCATGTAGATAAGGCAGGTAGATCTTGCCGTTGGCGTCGATGTGCTTGCCAGTTTTGATCATCATGGCACTGGTAGGTTTGACAAAACATATGGGAGGGTTGTAGGGATATGTGTCCAGCAACCACAGACACACTGGGATGTTGTAGGTGTTTCCTACAGGGGAGAAAAACACACACTATATTATAATTTGATTTCATAGTATGTTTTTAAGTCTCAACATTCTCAGAACTTGACAAACGTTGTTATTTTGAGGCACACTTATACGATGTCTAGTCTAGAGTAAATACATCTGAATATGAAATTGTATACGTTATGCTAGTCAGGTGCTTTCCTAAGCTGACACACAGAAGCATCTGCTACTTGATGAAAGTTTTTTTTTTTTAAAGTTCAAGATAAATAGCAAGTTAGAGTGAGCACACCAGAGAAAAAGTAGGTGAGGAAATCAGACAAACTAAACAGAACTGACACCTATCTACGCCCACAAATAAACAATGTGTAATACGTTTTTTATAAAGAACTACATTTGTATTTAGAAAGCACTGTAAACATTCCTTACCTCTGTAGCTCACTGGAACAGTTCCTGTCAAGCTCAATAGGTCTCGTGTGGAGCCATCATTAAACACTAAATAAAAGAAGATGACATGTCAATTAACGAAACAATGTATATATTTGCCATCATATGAGCATACAATATATAACCATACAAAACCATGAGCTCTGTATAACTCGATTTACCATAAGCGTCCATCAACGGCTTCAAGTCCTTGTACTGGCTGATGACATTGGTTATCTCACGAACTGTCAGGTCCCTGTACTTGTATTGCTGGACAATAACAACAAAAAGATGAAAGAGAAAAAGTAATGTATGTTAGTATACATTACATTTTAGACAGAATTGCTGACACTTAGGTAACTCATTCAGACGTAGTTGCCACAACTAATAAGTTATGTATTTTAATCCTAAAGTAATTTTGTGTGGTGTCAGTGTGTAGTAATTTATTTTGGTGTCCAAAATATTTTTCTTGTGTTAGAGCTTAGCATAAGGAGTAAAAAAACTAAAATAGATTAGAGAACAGAGTGTTCAGAAAGTGACAAATGAAGGAACTATAACTTTATCTGATATAAAATGATAGCCAATAAAGTCAGAAAATACACTGTAATATCTACTGGTGTATTAACTCAGAAAAGTCATAACATATGAAGTTTCTAAGGAATTAAGATACAAAAAGGGATGTAAAATGAAGATGAATCAGCTACAGATATGAGGAGTTGAATTGAGTAAATGTTCAGGCAATTCTAGGATAATAATGCAGTGTGCTCTTCCATGGACAAGATCTTGGTATTTTGATTCATGACAAATAACAGTTTATGGCCCTCTACCTGAAACTGTTTATTTCTTGAGTTGTTGAAAATATTACAGAGATTATCATTGGACCATAATAGCTCAGAGTTGTTTAGATATTTGTTTTCGAAATCTATATATTGTATAAGCTAAAGGCATATTATACATATGTATTTCTATTATTCCAGGAAAATGTGCAGCCTCAAAGCTAACACATCAATTGTTAGCTACACGCAATGCTTAATTTAATATGTATATTGAACTTTAATTATGTACATTAACAAGCCTGAAACGTTACTTAGAATTGTCAACGATGGCTGACATTAAATATTTGTACATGATAGACATACATTATAAATACTTAATACTAATCCTTATAACAGTGGTTTAAGTATTGCTCTGGCAACAGTTGATAAACAAGTATGCCTAGCAAATGGGATCAATGCTGTACAAACGAAATTTAAGAGACACATAATGTCATCCTGAAATATAGGAATGGTTGTTTACTGAAACGTTTATATTAAACATATACGTGAGTGTAGCTAACGTTAGGTGGCTGTAGGATCTAGGTCAACACAATAATATGTACGAGGAATCTCAAAGAATCCACATTATTATTTAAAGTACTGTAAATCGTCTGTTTATTAAGCAATACAGATCCTATTCCATATGTCCAGGAAATGTGAACATGCTCAACGAGTGTCCTGTTAGGTATCGGTAACATTTGCTAACGTGCTAACGTTTCTGTTGACCAGCAAGTGATGCAACACGTACCTTTAGCATTTTCTTCAGAACACCGTCGTTGACAACTGCCATGGTTTTCAGTTTTAGTTTTCACCGCTATTGTTAATAAGTAAATTGAAAGAACGGATGGCTTCTAAGTAAGCTAGACTAACAGCTAGCACGCTAAGCTAGCACGACTAATGCTAGGCTAAAGTTAGCCGAGCCTCGGGCCCGACTACAATTAAGACAATGATTCGGTGTCTATAGAAACCCTTCTAGTCCAACACGAGTAATGTATCTGTTGTCAATGCGACAAGATGTAATAATTTGAGAAACTTTAGTAAACAGTTTATTAGGAGTTCTAAAATGAGACCGAAAAACAAATATCCGATAGAAAACAAAAGGAATTTCCGGTATTCCACCTGACTGTTTCCGGTACGCAAATGACGTAAACAGTAGACGAGTTGTTCTCAAGGCGTGGTCCTACTTAGGTGAGTTTCCTTCACACATATTATAGGCTATATTAGTGCAAAAGCGTACTTAGTCATTATACAAACCATGTTGGAAAATAATATGAAATGTGTTGCCCCACAATAATACACACAGACATGTTTGATATGACTCTTTATTTACAGTACCAGCATCAATCAATCACTTCTCACAACAGTTTGGGTTATCATTTCAATATACACTGGCTGGCTATGTGTGCGTTCTTTGGATTGTTACATTTTCTCTTCACTGGTCAAAAGCCGGAAACATTTGTGAATAAAAGCAAACAAACTGGGTGCAGTTATGGTACCGTTTTATGAGCTGCTTGTTAAGAAATCTGGTGTTCAAACATAGGCCCTCAATATGTAGGCTATTATGTTCATTTGAAAAACAAATGATATGGTGCATACATTCACAACTAAACCCAGTCAGTATGTTTTAATCAGGTGCTTGACTTTTACAGTCTAAATCATTGGAAAAATATACATACATCATGTTATAATCCATTTGTATGAATTGTATACATTTATTAACCGTAAACTAACAAATAGATACCATCTGACACTTTACACATTGAACACCTCATCACAGGCAACACACACAATACAAATATGGTTAAAATTCCACAAAGACTAACAGTTGGTTTCATGTTCTTGGAAAGGTAGATCATCTTCACCGGTTAAATCCAGATGCATACTTCCATCAGTCTTTGAAAGCACCTCTGCTTGTCTGTGGAATTGCAGCCAACCTATATGGAATATATTATTCATTTTAGAGAGGCCTGAATCAGTCACAACAAATTCATAAACATGTTGAGAGAAGGAAATTGTTTTCAGCTCTACATTTAAGAGCAATGAACCTAGAGTAACATTGAACAGGTGTGGCCTGGATATGGATCTTTGGATCTGTGATAAACTCGTATCTAGGGCATAGGTAGTGTTGTTTTGAAACAACATGGCAACTAGCTTCCTGCCTGTGTAAGCATAACTTACAAGGGGCTTGTTCAGGCTCTGGATGAGGCTGCATGCACACGGGAGGGAAGTCTCCAAATACGACAACCATCACCTGGAGTAGGCTCAGTAGGTCACATTCACCCTGATGGGAAAAAGGAAAAGTCAAACAAATGTAAGGATGTAATAACTCCATTATCCATCCCTTTTTACATTCAGTATTTTCAAAGAAAACAAGATAACAATTAAAATTCTCACACATTTCCACTCCTCCAGGTAAGGCAGCACGACTTCACCACTGTTGGAGATATACTGTCCACCGATTAACATCATCTCATGTGTGGGTCTGACAAAGCAGATGGGAGCAGTTTGTGGATAGCTTTCTTCAATCCACAGGCATACCGGGATGTTGTAGGTTTGGTCTTGTATTAAAAAAGGGGAATATATATGTTTATCTTGTAGATTCTAAGAAATTATGAGTTGTATCATCATTATTTGTGATTCAAATTGATCAGTTCCCCCACTAAATTCCAGCTTATACTGTAGCTGTTTCATAGAGTTATACAAATGCAAAGTCATTGTTACCTTCTAACATGACAGGGATGGTTCCAGTTAGACTCATCAAGTTCTTTGTGGTGCCATCATTGTAAACTGTAAATAATGAAACCATGACTATAATTTACAGCACTTGTTGGAGTTTCATGTTAAATACATTCAACAACAGATTGTTAGGTTTAATTGATCTTCTTACCGTATCTATCCATCAAGGGTACAAGGCTTTTAAAGTGAGTCAATGCATCGTAGATTTCATGGGCCACATGTTTCCGTAGATACGTCTTCAAAATAAAAAGAATACAAAAGGAGCACCATTACAAATATACATGGATTATTTATATACTATTAAAATGTTAAGTTTGACTAAGAGAGAATAATCTGTTGATCATTAATCTTACCTTAGGAAGCATTTTCTTAATTGAATCCTCGTTGTATGGCATGATTATGAAGAATCCAGTTTGAAAATATCACTTTTTCTTGTATGCTTTTAATCGCCTACACTGTTATAACCCTCCACCCTGTTCGTCTTTGGTTTATGGATTAGCCTTTGTCTTTTATGACTTTAGAATCCAGTAAGAAAACAGCCCTGTAATTATGCAAAGCATGTGACCTTAAAAGCAACAACTAGGTTTCATGGCTTGAACAGCAATATAACAGTGAGCACATTTACAAATGATTAATCATGACAATTGCTAATTAAGACTGGTAGAGGAGCCATGCTTGGTTGTTATTTGGATTATGAAACTGTTGGATCACAGTTAATACATGTATGTGCTTTCCCTTGGTTTGCCTCACCTCTTTTCTCCCTTCTACCTAAGAAACCACTTCCTCATGTTGTTACAGTATTGTGTTTTGCAACAGTAAACCGTTTGTGTAAACGCAACATTTATGATTGTTCTTTGAACCTTCATCACAGCTGTACTTGCCAACATTGTGTAAACCAGTTATCACCCTCACTTTTAAACAAGGAACACATTTGGTTAGAACATGATTAAAGTTCTGCTGAGTTTATGCTAGATATAAGCTCCTTTATTATTACATTATTTGTATTATACTCTGTACGATACACAAAGCAGCCTGCAGGCGGCAGCAAATCCCAAATGTAATATGACATGAGAGTTAGATGTTTGAGCGACCAAAGACACAGATTCATCTTGACATCTTTATTCCTGTCCTGCAATACATTTGCCACATATTCAAAGAGTAAATACATCTTAAATAGCTAAACAGTTGACATTTTCACAAATTCTTTCCACACCTCCATCCACAGTTTGCAAGGGAGAAACAAGCCCTTGATCCCACTGTATCCTTGTGCAAAACTCCCAATGGTCCGTAGTCTTTGTCATGCTCGCCAGGTTTTCTGACATGTATACTTGTGGTTTGCTGGCTGTAGTTTTCCTGTGGCAAAATGACGCCAATATTCGAATGAAACAGGAATTTGAATACATAGATTAGTGGAATTATATGTATTATCATGGATGCACTGTTTCAAGATTGACAGGGAGAGGACAAGCATACTACCAGGACTGTTGTTACAGGTTACAAACGCCACACTCGTTTTTTTCCATCAAAAGGTTTGAGTACAATGGATGAAAAATAAAAGTTAGAACAACACAGCCAAAAGTGGGACCGAGGAACAACTCCTGCATTATTTTGTTATGGTACATTTTAAACATGAGGCTCCTTTTAAACAATATCTAAAACACATTCACAGTTCATGTCTTTTCTCCACGCAGAGAAATGAACACTTAACTGATTAAAACAACTTGATCACTACCATCCACACAGAAACTAGACTGATCATATTTTTTTAAAGCCATGATATGATGGAAAGAGTCACTTTAAAATGTACAAAATTAACTAGGTAGGAGATAAGCACTTTGATTTGTGCGAGATAAATGTTAAAATGTTTTTGAGGTTTGCAGAAACCTGCCTGTAGTGTCTGGATCTCTTTATGTTATCATACCAATTCTCTGAATTAAAAAATAATAATCTGGTTTTAAACTAACCATTTCTAGTAATCAACCTCACATGTTCCATTGTATTTGGAATGAAATTTCAGAAGACAACTTGGGTTATACTGGGCTCTTTAACTGTTGTTTTTCAGTCTTTTAAAACAGAATCACATTTAGATACACATCATTACAGAAAGACCCCTTTTAAAACAAATTAAAAAACAGTGTAGTGTTTCCAGGGACTTGCCTTTCAAATTCTATACAGCGCATGTCTTGACTCAACTCACTTATATATTTTTCAGTTGCACACATCATCAAACAAACAAAACAATGCAGCCAACAGATCACAGAATCACCTAGATTCCTCTAGAGCTCGCTGCATACATGAGGTACAAACTAGCTAACAGATAAGGCAAAGTAAACACAGAGCAGTCTTTTTTTTCATTTAGGCAACAAATTAATGCAGTTGTGGAGAGCACAAGCTGGGTCAGTATTAAGAAACAAAGCGATGCACTCCCAAAACCAAATATCCATCACCTGTTACACACAATAGTCCCACATATACAGTAAATATGGTTCTGACATGATTAGCACCTGACCTGTTAATGTTCCGTTTTAGAGCTGAGGTTGCAGAGAAAGATGAGCAGTTTGAGGATAGTATGGTGTGTGGAAATCTGAAGTTTGACTCTGAGGCAGGACATGTGCGTTACACTCTGCAAAGCATCCATAAACTAATTGTATAACTGTACAAGTGCAGGGTTTCCTCTTATTTCTACAGGAAACCTCTTCAGCTGTAGCAACTGGAGAGGGGACAAGAACTAGATTTGCATGCACAGTACCCCTCCGCCCAAAGGCTAACAAGAAGCAATGAGAGGTGGTGTTTTCCCAATACTTCGTGTAAATTGGACAGGAAAGAATCCTATTGCACCAGAACCTACGTGCACTAGCCAATAGCCGTTACTATTATTTCATAAAGACTGTAGCAAAGGAAACATCTGCAGAGAGAGAAGGTGGTTGCATTCTGGAAATTAATCTATCTTTACATTCCAACTACATCAGACAGGCCATGAAAAAAAAATGTCAAAACAGGTGCCATCTGGAATAAACACCCTCACTCACACATTGCTCTGTGACTTTCAAATTCTGCAAATCACAAATAAAATGTTCCATATCAAAAAGCTAGGCTAACTGTTAAAACAACAACAAAATTATAGTCATTCCCATGTCAGCCCCCGCCTCCTGGATCCAGTATAGAAGAGACTACACAGCCATTCGAAGGGGGACATCAAAAGGCAGGTAGAATGGGACGGGGGGGTTATTCATATGAGAGGTGTTTGGGCAACAGAACGTCCATTCCAGTCCTTTCCATGTTAGTCAGTCAGTCCTTCCAGTGGGCAGGTATTGGGGGGGGGGGGGGGGGGAGTGGAATTAGGCTTTCAAGGTGGGAGGAGGTCAGAAAGACCCCCATTAAGACCAGTGTTGAGACTGAAAACAATAAGTTAGCAGGAAACGTGTTGAGCTACCCAGCAGGACCACACTGGAGTTGACAAAGAGTCATTAGTGGTGTTGCTCACAAGTCCACGTGCGGACCAAGAAAAGGGGGCCGGAACCGTGCTAGTTCAGGTAGCCACATGGGCAACAGTCCAAATCCTCCTTATCCATGAAGGTCTACGGTTCAGTCAGCTCTGGTGGTTTCCTTGAGCGCTTTTGCTTCAATCATCCTCTTTTTGAAAAAAGTTTATATTTCATCATTGAGTTGTTTTTATCTTTCTATCTTTTTGTCCATGCTGCCACTACGCGCTGTAGCATTTCTCCTCAACGTGCAACAGTCAGCTGTGGAATGAAATGACAAAAGGGGACAGATGTTAGTGCCATTTTTACATTTATACTCCTGGGTAGGGCTGTGCGATTATGGCAAAAATCATAATCACGATTATTTTGGTCAATAATTGATATCACGATTATTACAAACGATTATCCATTTACTTTGAAAACATCCATTTATTGAAAAAAAATGTTTTGAACAGTTGATTACCCTGAACTTTAAGTATAAGTCAACTGAAAAACCAATAAAAAAAATAATAAAAAAAAATAATAATTACATTTTTTTTTTTTTTAAATAAAAATAATAATAGTTTTATTTCGATTACGATGTTTTCGTAATCGTTGCAAGCCAAAATCGTAATCGAGATTAATATACGATTAATTGCACAGCCCTACTCCTGGGGAAAAGTTAAACTGAGTTGGAACATTTATCAGAATCAGAATCAAGTTTTTTGCCAGGTACGTTTACACATACAAGGAATTTGCTTTGGTATCTGGTGGTGCGAACATAAACCATCTAGAAAAATAAGTTGCAAAGTAGGTCAAAAAAGAAATATATAAGGATAATACAAAATCATTTACTTTCAATGGGCACTCATTTGCATAAACAGACGAGTTCCAGTATAAGCATACCAATTTAGCGACTTCCCCTTTAACTTAACTGTCAAAGAAGAAAAACACATTTGTGTCTCACCTGCATCACGATACCACACAGCGACAGCTCATACAGTCCTGACCGCTCTCATCGGGGGGGTTCAGCTTCCTCAGCTTATGCTGTCTGATCTCCCTAACCAGCGTGTAGAAGGCGTCCTCTACTCCCTGTAGACACACAACACACACAAGGTTATGTGGGCACTTTCAAAGGTCAATTATGAGTAGAGTACACTGCATGCACCCCTTCCAACTGACAGCATGGCTCTTCGGTGTACTCATCCCCGAGAGGCCTGGTAACATCACCATGGCGACCCTGATATTTCAGACGTCGGAAATCATAATAGGTAAAAAGAAGTCATTCACGTCGTGCTTTGCAAACTCTTCTTTTTGACTGACACATTTCTGCAGGAACCATGATGAATGCAGGAGTCTGTACCTTCACTCTGTGTGACAGTGAGTCAGACAGAGTGGGAGCTGTGCGGCAACTTGTCCTTATGAAGCCTTTCAAATACTGTAGCTGTTCTTAAGCCAAGGTAACCTGGCTATGAGTCATTGCCTGTGGGATAATAAAATGTTTCCAGCTACACAAATCACATCATACTGCGGACATTTAGCTGCTTTTCACATGAAAATACACGTACAAAATGTAAAAAATACAGGGCCCATACTGAAAATCATACCGTGTTTAATACAGTATTATAAGAGGGCTAATGTGCATTGAATGTGGGTTTCATGGCTTGTAAAGATGGGAGAAATATATGTTAAGTTCACAGGTAATTTGAAATATCAGAGATAGAGGTAGGGAGAAAGAAAATAAAGTGTTGTATTGTGGGAGTGTGCTTCTTGTTCACCGCCCACCTGTCGTGTTTTAGCAGAGGTCTCGATGTATGGGATGCCGTAAGAGCGGGCGAGTTCCTGGGCTTGCCTCGTGTCTACCGTGCGTGTCGGGAGGTCACATTTGTTTCCCACAAGCACCATGGGAACATCGTCCGAGTCCTTTACACGTTTGATCTGTTCTCTGTGAATTGCAGAAAGAGAAAAATGCCATAAGAACTTTGTCTGTTTTCCTTAACCCGCCCCAGCCCT